AAAAAAAAAAAAAAAAAAAAAAAAAAAGAAGAAGAAGAACAGAGAAATAATTCATTTCTTCATTGACACAGGCCAAGGGGGTTCACGATCACCCAAGACCAGAGAGTAAGTCAGAGACAGAAGCTAGAAGAAATGCCCTCAAGAGACAGATGGCCTCAATTTACCAGGCCCAGAAAAAGAGAACTCAGGAACCTGAGGTAACGGGGAGCTGACATTGCAGGGTGTAGTCTCTGTTCATTTTCAATGCAAGATACACTTGTAATTAATTAGAATATGAAATGATTGAAATATATTAATAAATATTTTTAAGGGTTTCATTTTATATGCAAATTATACACCTTTAGAAAAATGTCAACATTTGGGTAGGGTCTAATCTCTTCTTTAAATAAAGCCAACATCCCTTGCACACAGTGATATAGTCAGGATGCATACTGCTATGTTGATACAAACATGATTATCCACTAATAAAGAAGTACAGTAGAGCACCTTTTATCCTTGGGGTTTATGTTCAACCTCCACCCCATGAATGCCTGAAACCGTAAGTGATACCAAACCCCGTATGTACTATGTTTTTCAGACACAAATATACTATAACAGTTTAATTTCTAGATTAGGCACAGCAAGAGATTAACAACAACTAATAATAAAAATACTCATAGAAATGTACTATAATTAGTTACTTAAAATATAAATTGTTTATTGCTGGAATTTTCCATTTCATGATTTTGGACTTAATTGACCACGAATAATTGAAACCTCAAAAAGCACAACAACTGTGGGTAAGGGGACATCACTATATGTCAGTGGGCACCCAGAGCCCTCTGTCGGCACACAAGCCAAGTCGTCCCAGCAGCTGAGCATCAAATAACAGTTGTATTTTTCTAAACTAAAACCTTAGTCCTAAACCTTTTAGCAGTGGTGGCACTTTGTGATAAATAAATGGGTTTTGGTGCCATTTGGGCACTCAGTCTCTGAAAGGTTCGCCACCCGTATGTGTAGGCTATATGTGAACACCAACACTGAGTGAATGGGGCATCCTTGAAAGGATGTGTTAGCTTTCCATTGCTATGAGAAAATACCTCCAATAGGCAACTCAGATAGAAAGGTTTGTTTTGGCTCACAGATTTAGAGGTGAAGTCCATGGTTGGTTGCCTGTTGCTTTTGGGCCTGTGGGGAGGTAACACATTGGAGAGGGGTGCATGGTAGAGGAAGCTGCTCATCTTGTGGAGAAGTAAAAGAGGATAAGAGAGAGGAAGGGGCCTGGGTTCCAATATCCACTCCAATGCCCCAGTGACCTAAAAAAAGAACTCCCACTAGCACTCACATCTTTCTCTAACACTTCCAAATATTGCCACCGGGGGACCAAGCCTATATCACCTGGACCTTTGGGGGACATTCCAGATCCAAACTATAGCAACATTGCCATACAGGAACTGATAAAATTTCTTTGGGCATCTTGATCCAGTGTTGCTGTTCCACCAAAGCATGGCTGGAAGGCAGTGTTAGCATGAGCATGACAGACACTGTCTTTGCAAGCACGTGCCAGGCACTGGTCTAAGAGATTCAGGCATCTAATGGTTGCAGCAACCCTGTGGTCACAGAAACTCTGTAATGCCATCACTGTCCTGAAGCTCCATATTTAAAACAAGTTATCTGAGGCCCAGAGAGAGTAAGTTACTTGTTCCTTCAGTGAAGGTCACAGTCAGGTTTGGAGACAGTTCTGTGTAGCTTCTAAGCCTCCCCTCTCATGGATGAGAACAGAACCACAGGACATTCACACCCATCCTGCCTGGCTACCTTGGGCCTTCCTCATTCAGGGTGTGATATTCACACCCGAGGGAGCTCAAGCTTAGCAACTTCTGGACCACAGGTCAAACTCTCGTGCCTTAGCAGGACACTGTCTGCAATGCAGAGCCCACCCATCAGAAACTTGCTGTCCATGTGGTTGGCTGTTGGTGTGTTTGAGGATGCTAGCAGTATTTGCAAATCCTATGTCTGTATTTGTATCATTTTTTTAGGTAGGAGAGAATCAAGATAGCAGTGGACATTTCAACAACACATCTCTCCTGGAAAGTCCACAGCTGTTTGATTTACTTCCTGACACCAGCTTCTCTAGTCCAGGGCAGACTTGCCCTTCCTTCCCAAATTTGGATGTTTACACAGCTCCCTGTGATCTGGCCAGCTTTCAAGGGCACCTCACATCCGCCTTCCAGAAATATCCAAACCCAAGCATTTATTGGCCCGGGCCACCTTACAGCTATGACTTGGCAGGCCCTGAATACCCAAGTCCAGGCCCATATCCCACCCTTTATAAAGATTCCACCAGCATCCCTAGTGACACAGACTGGGTTGACCTTAACGCACTGCAATATAACATCAGTTCCTACAGCAGCTATGAAAGCAGCTTTGATTTCACTGGTAAACAGTGTGGATGGAAACCAGGCTTTGCAAAACTGGGCCTGGAGGAGCGGACTGAGCATGGACAGCTCCAGGCCATGGCCAGGTGCCCTTATTACAACGCTGAGCTTCCCTGCAGATACCTCGTGACGTCCTCCGCAGGTGGCCCCGCCCTGCAGACTGTGATCACCACCACTACCAAGGTGTCCTACCAGGCCTACCAGCGACCCACTCTGAAACACAGTGGCAGCATGCAGGAGGGTGGCAGCTTTTCCAGCTGCAGCTTTGCTTCTGAAGACGGCCTTGTGTCCATCTGTCCCGAAGCCTTGGACGCCCCGTCTGGAATCCCGAGGGCAGCCTCTCCTGTGGGGAGGGCGAGTTTGAAAATCCCAGGGGATTTCTGGGTCAACAGACCCACTGCGGCTTTTCCTCAAGAGGCAGCTGCCTCCAGGACAGACGGAGCAGACCCCTGGGATGTGTGTCTGCCTGGGCTGGGATCTGAGATCAGTTTCTCAGACAGAGTGGGTCTGCTCTTTAGTTACGACAGTGAGGACTTCTGATCGACCCTGGTCGTGCTGTGATACTGGTGTGCACGCAGGAGGTGAAATGCAAAGGAGCAGGGTTGGAAGATTCAGCCTGTGTGTAAAGAAATACAGATAGTAGTAAAAATATTTCCCAGCTGAGAGAATTATCAGCTGGAAATGGTTAGTAGCTTTTAGAAACGTGGCTCAGCATTCTGGCTACAGTACACAGAAGTAGGTTTGATCTCGCAAATAAACAAATAAGCAAACTGGAGATCAGAAAGTTTAAAAATACTGGCCTAACTTCACTCAGCATTTTTGCTGCAGGAGAAATCAAGCTCCCTGGTTTTTATTCGGTGTCTTTCCCACTGGGCCTCACACCACTGTTAGAAGCTGGCTAAACAGTGTCAGGAAGATATTGCTACAATTTTATACCCGGAGTCATTTCATAGTATTTTCGTTTAGCATTTAGAACCTATTAACATGTCCTCAGGAAGCAATTTTGATCATTTTACTCCAAAGTATATCTTTAAAAATCATTGGCAATAGTAAAGTACAATTATTATTATTAGTATTATTAGTATTATTAGTATTATTAGTATTGTTTTTATTATTTGGTACTGGAGATCAAACTCAGGCCCCTGTGCTTGTGAAGCAGGCAATGGAACCACTGAGCCAAATCCCCGGCCCTAAAATACAATTATTTTTAAAAGAATTGTAGTTTTATTAATTTGTTGAATCCTTTTTTTTCTTTCTCCAGCACTGGGGGTTGAACTCGTGGCTTTTACACTGAAGTACATCCTCAGCCCTTTTTACTTTTATTTTTGTTTTTTGGTACTGGGAATCAAACTCAGAACCTTGCACTTGTGAGGCAGGCAGCAGCACCACTGAGCTAAATCCCCAGCCCACAGCCTTTTTTATTTTGAGACAGACTCCCTGCTAAGTTGCCCAGGTGGGATTAAAACTGGCAGTCCTCCTGCCTCAGCTTCCCAAAGTGCTGGGATTTCAGCCATGAGACACTGCAAACACGATGGCCTTCATAACAGAGACAGCCTAATGATGATGTCTATTGAGTAGATTGTTACTGTACTAAATATTTTTGTGATCAGGCTTTAAAATTAGAATAGAGATATTTTGTCCAAATATTATATAACTTTACTCCTTTGTCATTCTTCATAAATATAATTGATAATGTTCAACTTAATGTAATAAAGATAGTTTAAAGTGTTGTAACTGATGCTTGAATTATTTTAAAATAATAGGAAGAAATATTGTTCCCATTGTGATTTAGAAAACTTACTAAATATTAAAACTTATTAAATAGCTTGACAGCTTTATAGTTTATTTTGAAAAGATCTGTTATTGTACACCATCATAATAAAAATCCTCTTTAGTCATTGAAGGAGGCTTAGGGTTGTGGCTCAGGGTTAAAGCACTTGCCTAGCATGCTCTGTGTTCAGTCCTCAGCACTTTAAAAAAATGTGGACACAGAACCAGGAATTTAGCTCAGTGGTGCCGCCGCCTGCCTCGCAAGTGCAAGGACCTGAGCTCCATCCCTGGTACCAAAAACAAAAAAATATGTACACAAATATACATTTGCAGTGCTCCCAATACTTAGTGAAAATACTGAAGTAGCGATAATAGTGGACCATTGACTTACAAACTTGATCAGTTCCTGAGGGCTGGTTGTAACTCAAGTTGGTTGTAAGTCAGTACAACTGAGATCTGCATGTTTACCTGGGTACATGCTATAGATAACAAGAGGCAGATAAATCTTCAATTAATCTAATTAACACAAGTTTTTCATATGTCATGCTGGTTGTAACTTGAGGATTCACTGTTAAGAAATAATTTGGGGGGGTACTGGGATCAAATTCAGGACCTCAAGTTTGCTAGGAAAGTGCTGTGCTGCTGAGCTAAATTCCCATCCAGATATAAATTTTTGAGAATGGAAGGAAAAGCAGCCATTATTCTTAAATTTACATACAGGACCCAGTTTGAATAACTGAATTGCAATAAGTTAGATGCCATTTTTAACCACTGCATGTTATATATCGGCCACCTGAGTCACAAAACCCTAATATCTGTGGTAATAAATGCATGCAGAACTTCCCATAGGATTAAATGAGAGCCAGGACTGACTCCCCAGACGACTTTTCTCAAAAGAAAGGATGCCCAGTACACTCACGACTACTTTTTTTCTTTAGACTTCTATATCCAAGCTCACAATTTATAATAATATTTAACTTTACACAGCACTTACATGTGCAGACACTGTTCTAATCCCTGAATGGTGCACCCTGAGCTACCTGAGAGAGGGGAAAGACTACACAGCAGGTGAGAGATCTGGGATTTGAATGGGGGTCTCTGGTCACGTTATTACCCCAGGCTTATTGTATTAGCTTTAGTGACTCTCCTTTATCAGTGAACTCCACTGACATGTTGGACACGCATGGAGTAGAAGGATGGTGTATGACTCCTCAGTGTGTGTCTGCGGGACGGGTAGGAAGGGCCTGAGATGAAGGTAAGTAGATACGAGTTGGAAGCAGGAGGCAAGCATTTCCCAAACTGCTACAAGGAACCCCTGTGGCACAGTGTGAATCTAGACCACTATTTTATTTAATAGTGATGCATCTATTTTAATGTGTAATAGGGAAATAAAAGTAACATATCAAATCTATAATTTCAGGATATTTCTGTCCAAAGGAAAAGAGTTTTGTTTTTGTTTGAAATCAAGGCTATTTAAGCAGAAGGATTAAGCAAATAACAGTACAAGTGGTGCAAGGAAAAGGCAAGAGTTGTGAAGGTTGTTTGAGAACTACTGAAGGTTGAGACATGCTGGCCAAGAGCAAGGGACCAGAGCCAGAAGGAATCAGCCCTGCTGGAAAGCGTGCATGATGGTGACAGCCGATCGTAACGGAGCCAACGGGAAGAAAGCGAGGGTGTGAGTCGGCATCTGAAAGCTAAACCAAGGGCCCGGTGTGGCACAGCACAGAGCCAGCCCTGCAATCTGGACCAGTGGAGGACGGCACTGTCTGTCCCCAAACCCTGATCCGCAAAGGAGTGAAGAGTTCTGTGGAAAGTGAGTGGGAATGGGGAACTCGCAGGGCCTGTCGTGTTATTGATATTAGCTATTGATTATGAGTACTGATTATTAATAATAGCTGTTTACTAATTGACTTTCAAATATGCCAAGCGTGAGGGTGCTGAGCCTGGGGACCTGTGTTGTTCTGATCATCTCAGGAACGGGGAGGAGCCCAGCCGGAAGCTGGACCCAGAGCACATCAGGGGCTGTGAGCCCAGGAGGAGGAAGGGAGAGGCCGGGCTGAGAGCTGACACCTTGCTCGGCAGATTTTCGGGGTGGGGATGCAGCCATCAGTGGAGTTTAAAGCTTTTCCCCATGATTCCAGTCCACAACCAAGGCTGAGAAACCTGCCAGACCCACCTGGGATCGTCGTTAGTGTAAGCAGTCCCAGTGGCAGGAGCCAAGCCATCTAACTCGTGTTATTTAAAGTACAAATTTTAAATTGGGCTTTAAAAGCACTGATCTCAAGGTATATTGTATGCACAGGTTCTGTATCCTTTCTGTGTCCCGACAGGCACAGACTTTTTCCCTAGAATTCATCTCAGCCAAGTAGACGTTTGTCTTGCCATTACTCCCTAAACAATACAAAAGAACAATTATTTATATAGATAGAATTTACACTGCATCTGGTATTATGAGCCATCTAGAGATGATTTAAGGCATACAGGAGGATGTGCATGGGCTGTGTTCAGATGCTAGGATGTTTTATGAAAGGGACTTGAGCATCTGTAGATTTGTTATCTCTTCGGGGATGGTCCTGAAATAAATCTTCCAAAGATACCAAGGGATGACTGTATCCCTCCACCTAGAAATTGAATCATTGGCAATTTCATTAAATCACTCACTTTACAAGTATTTATTGAGCCCCTACTATGAATAATGATGTGCTAGCATTAGATGTATAAAGGAGAGTCAAACAGATACTGCCGCTCTCAGGGCTGAGAGACTGGTGGGCCACTCAGGGGTGAGGAGGTAATAAGGAAACTTATTATGGAGCCCGAAGTCCGAGAACACATGCTGAGCCTACAGTAAGCAGAGGGAAACCGGCCTATTGGACAAAGCAGCTGGGGAGGAAGGGGCTCTTTGCTGAACTGAGAGTGAAGAACTGAAGGATGAGAAAACACAGGTAGGAGACACGGCAGCAGAAACGTGTGCGGTCCACAGGACAAGAACATTAAAGCACAAGGGAAAAGAGTGAAAAATGGGTGGGAGTGGACAGCAGGGCCCAGAGCCATCAGTCCCAAGAGAAGGAATTCACATTTTATTTCAGGAGCAGCGGCAAAACACTGAATCGTCTTAAGCAGGAAATGGGCATGATGCTGTTAAGGTTCTGACTCCTCAAAGCCTGTTGCTGCGTAGTTTACAAGTAATGGAGGAGGCAGGAAATGGCGATGGTGTGGATTGAAGAGTGGCTGTGGAGAGGGATGGAAGGGGACAGATTCCAAATGTCATTTGGACATAGAACTTATTTATGGTTTCAATGTGGGATAGTAAGGAAGAGGGTAGAAATTAAGAATGACTCTGTTTTGGGCTTCAACAAACGGAATGGCTGGTGGTGCTGGACTCTGAAGTAGCAGCAGCTGAGAAAAGAACTATTAATGTATGGTCTCAGAATGGTGGTGATTCATCCGTGTTATGGGACAGATATAGCCCTGCAGCTAGGGGATATAACTCAGTGTGAAAGCCCTGGGTTCAATCCCTAATACCACCATAAAAAAAAGTCAGGAAACCATAAACATAAAACTAGTTTTTAAAGCCAAGAATAAATAGCTCACCTAGTACAACGTTCAAGAGTTGTGCTGCCCATTATGGTGGCCACTGGCCATACACGGCAATAGAAATTAATCAAAATTTACAATTCATTTCCTGAGTCATACTAGTTTCATTTCAAGCATTCAGTAGCTTTTCGTAGCTGGTGGCAACCACAGTGGGTAGCACAGGTAGAGAACGTTTCCTTCCTCAGAAACTTCCATTGGATGGTACTGGATGAGAAGGGAAAGGAGAG